ATATTTTCTTCGAGGGGGTCCTCTCTATGGAGGCCGCCATGTTTTTTTACATTAGTCCAGACTGGACAAACTTACAACTTTTTCATGTTTGGAAGGTATTGATATCACTAAGTTCTACACACTGTACCTTTAATCTTAAATATAAGAATGATTTCTTTTTGAGAACAATGAATTCTAGATAAATAATATATTCTATGTCAGTGTTTTATTTCACCCTTTTTTTCCCTTTCAATATCAACCTGGACAATGGTCATCATACTGCTGCATGAACATGCTGCGGGACTGTTCCCCTGTAAGAGCACATACAATCTCAGCATGTTGTTTCTTACCAAATCAACTTTGCAAACAGAATAAAATGTTGAGGGTGTTCTGGCAGAGACCTGTAAATGGAGGGTTGTCGGAGCAGCTCATCATCCAGGACCGTTCCTCTGACAAACTCGTAGCAGATGCCGTTCTGGAAGCTGCAGTAGATCTGCGGACCACATCCATGGGAGTGGAGGACCTGAAACATCTCCACCTCCTTGTCCCGGTTCACATAGAGCTCCGTCATTCTGCCATACAGTCTTACCAGAACACACCCGGGCTCCTGAAGAGAGCCCACGTGGCAGCCGATCAGCTGGTTGGTGATGCCCCCTGTGAAGGTCTGGAATTAAAGGAAGTCAAAGAGAATACAAAAGAAAATCTTATATCTTGGAACAAAACAAACAAATCACTTGTGTCATAATATGGCATCAATTCACCAAGCTGTAAATGTAACAAAGCATTCAGAACACTGAAAACAATGCAGATTTATTGAAAACATTGTAAAGTGTTTATGTGTTTTTTTCACAGATAATGACAATTTAGTGAAAATACAACCTCTTGTAAAACAGGGGGAGATCTTTACTATGATAGCGTTGACATTATTACTGTCATGTGGCCAATAAAATCTTATCATTGTTCAAATAAGGAGTTTATATGACAGGCAGTTAATGTAATTACTTTGTAATGTTTAATGAGTCACTTTCCTGAAAACACAGTTTGAGTTACTGTTTATCTATGACAATCTTGGAATCTTAAATGAATAAGTGAACAAATGGCATATGTTTAGTTTCAGGACTCTGATTTAAAAACTTGTTGTACAGTATAATTTAACAGACCACTCATTTATCACTGTCATGGCTCATTACCTAAACTATTTTACCAAGGTGCCATGCAATGTCCACCAGAGAGGGAGGGATTAGCAGCTGTGTAAGAAATATTAAGGTAGTATTATTATATTATCATCAAATCAGACTTGCACCGTGTAATAAAGCACAAGAATACCTGTTGGACTGGTATATGATAAAGCTGCTGCTTGTATTGTGCAGTTTGCATTGTATTTGATGGGAAGTTAGTTACTCATTGAAACCCCATAAGCCCTGTAAATTCTAACACAACAATTGGTGATAGGTGGTTTTAACAAGAAAGTAAATCAACCAAACCCCAGATTCATTTGGAACAGTTAAGATGTTACATAAAATTTCAGAACAAAACAACATTAATTACACAGAATAACACAGATGTTAAAACACATTTAAATCTCCTATATTATTGAAAAGGATCTACTACTCCAACCTGAAGCAAAAAACAACCAGTTATATATAAAATTCAGATTAAACTGACGCACATAAAAACAGAAGCATATGCACATGTATACACAGCTGCTGCCTCCACTTGTTTTTTGTCTTTAAAGATCACACTTCCAGCACACTGCTCTGTGTGTGTACACAACAATCCCACATTGACCACTGTTTGCCTGCCGAAGCCTTGTCACACATTTGTTGTCTTTCAGTGGTTTCTCAAAGTCTCTCATTCTCTGCCACAGTCTCAGAGGCATTTTCTGAGCCTCAGATGGGACCTGCAGACAAAAGGTTTTCATCTTGATGGAAGTGAACAAACAGGCCGGGCAATTTTGATCCTTTCCACCAGCTTTGACAGT